AAAGAGAAGTTAACATCTAAAGGAGGGATGTGTGAATTCGGGAAATGGAAGAACAGAGAAGCAAATGTCAGTGGGGCTCATCCGAAGCCTGTCCGTACACGTCCCAGTTCAAGGCGCTGAGCTCCCCGGCCGTGTGGTGGGGAGTCTCCGGGGGGCGGGTTACTCTAACTGCATTACTACCCCGAACCTATACTAAGCACTTCCCCTCCGGTACTTACTCACAGTGAAAGAATGTCCTTGTCTGAAGGTACAAATACCACACAGTTCCCAGGCAGGTATACGCCTTGTTTGCAATGACTAAATTTGCCTTCTGGTTTTCTGTATCTGATGCATTAAGAACGAGGGCGAGAGCCTGGGACATGGTGAAATCACCAATGTGGCTGTTTAATCCAAATCACTAGGCACTAAGGGGCAGCAAAACCACAGCACCGGTCTTCAGGTCTCCCGGGTCCTGGGCATAACATGTACGCATAGCACAGAGGCCATGGTTGAGAATATTTTCTTCGAGAATGAAGTTTTGGACATGTGTAAGGCAGCAGCACCAAGAGAGAGCAGAGGAAAATGAGATAGAAAGAAGATGGACCATAGTTTAAAACCAGAAGTTTGGTATCAACTAAATAAAGCACATGTCCAACAATCTTCGATGACAGTCTTAGCAGGAAACGTGAAACGAGAGAAGTGGGCAAGGTCCAACCAAGCACAGGCCCGACGCCCGACCACTGTTACTTAGAGAATCAGTACGGACATCCGGCTTCCATCGATCTGAAAACATAACGTCAGCGTTTTACTGACAAAGTTTCCAATGACATATCACGCTATAGAAACCAAAGTATAACAGCCTGTCATCATGATGGAGAACACAGGAAGTTACCCTGGGCGCGCGCCGGCAACGGCCACACTGCATGCGTGCGCTGGGGTCAGGCCTCGTGCACGGGGCCCCTCCACGGCTACCTGCACTCACTGTAATCTCCCCAGACAGGTCTGCGCCGCCCGGTGTGACAGCACCTAGCCATGCCTGGCTGCCGATCACCTGAAATGTGCCTCATCGGAACTGAAAAGGCTATTTATTCACTGTCAGACACACCCTGGATTTTGAAGACTTAGTACCAAAAACCTATCCACGATCAAACGCGTAAATGCCTCTTTGGGCGTCCTCAGCTCCGCCCCCTCCAAGTGCAGCAGACCGATCTGCAGTGGGAAACACTGGCGTGCTCGTCCCCACGCTGGTGCGCAGCCTGCGACCGCATAGGGGTCGACCACGTGTGATGCTGTTCTGTGCGCACTCTTAGAAAAAAAGTAAGTCTGTATTGTTCATAAAGCTTCTATTAGGGTTAAATAAATCTAGTAACATTTAAAATTAAAAGACTATCTAACGGTGCCATCATTCACTTCCTAAGAATCTACAAATAAAGAACATCCATCCTACTTCTGTAGACCTACTGCTGGCACATAAGCGAGTCATACTGTATAAAGCTCCATAAATTTACTAAAATGTACTGTAAAGCCAATCAGTACAGAACAATCTAACATAACTGCTCAATAATAAAATAGGAAGCTAAAAACCACACGTTCTGCTTTCATATTTTAACATCTGACTAAAGCTACTGAATCTGAAATTAATTGATTTAGAATGGTAACATAACTCCATGAGAAAACTTTCAATTTCATACAGACCAGGTTCACAAATGCTGGAGGTATCACAGAAAACAACAAAGAAGACAGCAACAGTAAATCTAGGAAGGCATCCAATTCCCCATTTTGGGGCAAAAACCAACACAATTAATTAAGTTGTTATTAATGACTGGAGACTGCCATGCACCTCTGATAATTTAAAGAAGGCGGCAGTCCCTGAACTAAACACAGTACATAAAAACACCTCCAGTGATACACATTTAGTCCTAACGGCTTTAGTAAAGCAGTCACTCTCGTACTCTGGCATGTAACAATCAGCTTGTTGAAAAATGCAGGTTACCGGGCTCCAACCCCAGGCTGATTTCAGAACCTGGGTATCATATTCTGTTCTGCTCACGATTCTGTCTAGACTTGAGTTCGTTATCCGAAGTGCAAGTCTCTCTCTTCAAAATCTGTAGGCCATTTTTTGCCCTTTGCTCTTCCATAAAAATTGCTAGAATCGGCTTGTCAAGTTCCAGAAAAATCACACTAGAAACTGCACTGAATTCAGAACCTTCTATCCATGAACATGCTATTATTCCACATTTATGTAGGGTTTTTGGTGGTTGTTTTTAAATGTTGTTCTGGTCTTATACACATATTATTGATTTATTCCTATATTCCTTTTATTTTTCATTGGTAACAAAGAAGGCAACTAGTAAAACATGCATTATCTATTTGTTGCTAGTATACTTTATACAAATTTTAATTTTGAATACAGTTAAGTTTTGATGCAAACATAGACAGCAGTTCACATTAATAGATTGGGGAAAATATCTGACAATACCAAGTGCTAGGAAGTAGAACAATGAAAACCCACTGTTGGTGAAAGTAGAAACTGATATAATTACTTTGAAAAGGTTGACATCTTCTAGTAAATCTGCAGACATGCGTGAACTATGACCCAGCAATCCTACCCCTGGACACAGACGCCCAAAGATTCTCTTGCACACATGCACGAAGAGATATTTATAAGAATGTTAACGGAAGTAGTTTGTAATAGCCCAAAAATTCCAAATAATCTAAATGCTCATCAACAGGAGGATGGATAAATTAATTCTGGCCTATTCATACCATGAAACTACACAGTAGTAAAAGTAAATGAATGAACCAAGAGCTACATGTATGAAATGGAAAATTTGAATGAATACTCCCCGAAAGCAAGACTTAAAGTAGTCAATGTTTACCATATTTAGTTGCTGCAGGGGAATAAAAACACCATTCTTTCCTTCAGCTCAAAGGAGTCAACTTGGGTCCACAGAAGCTGGTCCTATGAGTGCCAGGGAACACGAGAACCTCGGAGAAGTGAGGGGGGTGAACGCACACAGAGCGAGTGAGTCCATGCAAAACATGTACAAGCGGAATCACGTCGAGGCCAGAAATGACGACAGCTTGGACCAGAGTGGTATCAGTGGGAGGAATAAAGAAATATTAAGAAGATGGAAATCACCTGGTGTGCGGCATGGACTGGAAAAATAGGAGATGATGAGGAGTGTCAGAACCCCCATGGGGACCTAACAGGAAAGAAGGAGTCAAGAATGGAGGTACGAGAGAAAAACAAGTGTGGCAAATCTGGCACACAAGACCTAAATGCCCAGGGCGGAAAGCAGCTGGGAGAGCCCACTAAGAACACCGCAGCATCACATAAACTACAGCTGAGCTGTGAAGAGAATGGGTAAAGTCACAGCAGAGGTACACTTCGCTTTCATGAATTCAGCCCGGGAGGGGAGGGGAGGGGAGGGGAGGGGAGGGGAAAAACCAGGTGAGCAACGACCCACCAGTCCCTGCAAGATCATGTGCGTATACGCGGGTATATTAATTACGACAAAAACTGAGCTGCTGAAACCAAGAGGCTGCCAGAGCAATGAATTAAAAAAACAGAAGTCTATCCTCCCTCCCTC